TGAATTCCTGCAACCTGGACAAGGATGCCAATTCACGGGATGTCCATCTAAAGCCCGTAGAGGTGGGAAGCCTAATTAGCGTGCACCACGCTATGAAACTCGCGAACCTGGGTTTGATTCCTAGTCACGGGTGACATCAGTGGGTTATTAAAATAGTTTTGCAACAATATATTGTATACTCATGTATGCACACCCATGAATCACTTGAGATTAATAATGGCTGAACCTAAGACACATTCTGGTATGAGATGTTATGTACCCTTGAAACATTAAAAATGTCAGTTCAAAATATGATACATGTAGTCAGCTTAAAACAAATATATAATTACCAGGCACTGACTGTTTCGTCTCATCCACACAGTGATCCACCAATACAACAACACACCCACCCACTCACAAAAATACAAAGATCCCCCGTGTAGCCTTGACAGACTGTTGGGGCAAGTGCTGTTAGCGAGCACCTATGAAGGGCGGCACGGCATACGAGGGGGTGGGTGGCCAGCACCAGGCCCGGCCGCCTTTGTCACCCTAGTGGCGATGTTTACACGCCGCACCAGGTACTCATTTGAGTCAAGCTAGGGGAGGCCCATGACCGATTCAGATAATGGTCACTGGTGTGTTGGCCGTAAGCGGGAATGGGAACTCAGGTCGCAGCGTTCGTAGCGCGGCGTACTAACCGCGACACTACCGCTCCCCACTCACACTCCCACTGACCTACCTACTCACCCGCTCACTCACTCACCCACTCACTCACTCACCCACTCACTCACTCGCTCACCCACTCACCCACTCACTCACTCACCCACTCACTCACACACCCACTCACTCACTCACCCACTCACTCACCCACTCACACACCCACTCACTCACTCACCTACCTACTCACACACCCACTCACCTACCTACTCACCCGCTCACCCACTCACCCACTCACTCACTCACACACCCACTCACTCACTCACCCACTCACCTACCTACTCACACACCCACTCACCTACCTACTCACCCGCTCACTCACTCACTCACCCACCCACTCACTCACTTACTCACTCACTCACCCACTCACTCACTCGCCCACTCACTCACTCACACACCCACTCACCTACCTACTCACTCACTCACCCACTCACTCACCACAATGCAGGTCCCTTCACCTCTCTTTCTTCTTTTTTCTCCCACTGCTCCACTTTGGCATTCCCTCCCATTGTCTCTATTCCCAAGCACCATAATTAATTCAAGAAACGCGTTAACTGTTACCGATTATAACTTTAATGGTGCTGCTTGTTTCTGGCCACTTGAGGTGTTGCTCCTTTGGGCCTACGCTCAGTGTGACTGTATTTTAAACAATTATGCACTTTGATAAATACGAATTTGCATTACTGTATATAAACATTTTTTCACCTCCAACAATATGGGTAAATGAGACATCCACCAGCTGCTGCTGTACGATAGTAAATTACAGCTCAAAACGAGCGCCAACGGTACTGTTACAAAGAGTTTTCTATACACCCCGAGGGACGCGTTCCTACCGCTCAATCCACGCATGATCATGACTTGGGAAGGGCAAGCAGTCCTCAAATGCAGTCACCCATGTCAGGTCCAGAGATTTTACAAAACCTCCGGCACGTTCATTACCGGTTCACTCGCTCATCTCAGGTAGACTACCCCACTGCCCCTCCATGAAATCATGTTATTTTAAAACTATTACTATTAACTATGTTTTATTTTATCAGGTAAGGCCCACTGAGCTACATAGCTCTTTTAATAAGCAAAATTACAGCTCAACGCAGTGGCTTATGACGTGGAAAGTTATAGCAGCAAAATACTCTAAACGCATGTTTTAATTGTGGAGGGAAAAACCGGAAGACCCGGAGAAGAATCCACACGACCACGGGGAGAACATGCAAACTCCAAATATACAGCAGGCGTCAGTCGGGATCGAACCCATAAACCTCCTGTATACCAGGCGAGGTAGTTAACATCTTTCCACGGCGGCGTCTCCTTCCCATATCTGCCCCTCCACACACAAAATAAATACATAAATTACTAATCCAATCAGCCGCACAGCCTTCTGGGAGTGAATTCATTTCAGGAGTATTGGTTCAGCACAAGCAAACTCTGGAATTGTGTGCTCTCAGAATGCAGTTTGACTGACAAGATATGTTAAAACTTGATATGATGTTTGTGTGGCGGGACAGATATGAAAGTCTTCACAATCAGGGGCGGTTTCTTCATTAGGGCGATTGGGCGACGCACCACCAATGTCATTGAACCACAGAGTCACGCTAGCCGTCACTGTGCCTCTGGATATAGTCCAATCAGCGTCATGTCACGTTCTGTGGAGTACCGCCTCTTTTTGGGCGATTTCACTCCGGCTGAGAATCGCCCCGAGTGGCCCCATAGACTTACATTCAAAGATGTTTTTTTTCGACCGGGGGGCGCTCCAATGCATTCTCTATGGCTTCCGGGAGGGCTCGCCCTAACGTGCTTACGTCATCATACGTGCTTACGTCATCATACAGTAAGCACGTTTCATCCAACAATATAATTTGTGGCCACCTAGTGGAATCTTTAATAAAATAAACTTTAGTGGTTTGTTTTAATAGTGAGTATAGAAACAAACAAGATGTATTGTAAGAGTCACTTTATTTTTCATTAATATTAAAGAAGTGAAGTTGCCTTTACATGCTTAAGCTGTTGCATGGGTGGACCTTATCCTTATCAATCATCCAGACATTTGCCCCCCCTGAGAGATTTTGCAGGAGCCGCCACTGTTCACAATGGTACAAACTATTATTTTATGTTATACATTGGTGCTGTTTTCCTTTCACTGCCATTAGCTACACGTCTTATTGGTCGTTGCAACGGTTTTTTTAGTGCCTTTGCGCGAGCTCCAAAACATAATTTGTTGCGCAGTTGAATTTATGACTTACATGATCTCAAAAAAACATCATCACCATCATCATACCTAGCATCGTCATGATCAGCATCAGTGGCAGCAACACACAGCCACAGTGTTCGTGAATGGCGCATCGAGTCGTTATGTGTCTGTTCTGGATGACCACAGTAGCCTCACACCGCAAGGAGAGTTTTGAATTTTCCACAGATCCGATCCACAATCATCACAGCGATGCTGCACCACGCCACTACTACTGACGCAATAATCAGGCTCAACCACATCCATGCCAAATTAAAACTGCTGCTCTATAGGGTGGTCCAGATGTCTTGTCACTCCCATCTAATTCCAAATATATTTTTGCACACCAATGGGTGTTTGATGTAATGTAAGCAAAATAACAAACAAAAAATAGGACCTCCCTTGTACATCAACATCAGCCACACGCAGGCGAAGACAGCCACAGTTCGCTGCCTTCCTCTCTCTCCCTCTCTGGCTTCCACAGCCACTTTATAGAGCGGCAGCAGCATCAGCTAAGCCAATTACTCAGCCACAACCTGGGTAACGAATGCCCTCTCCCACCAATCAGGGGAGCATTGTTACTATTTAATCGCCCCCAGGTCGATTGGATTCACCTGTTTTCGCGCAGTCGATCCCACAGGAGGCGGCTGTGAAGTCGACACGAGCCTGATGTCTTTCACTTCTCTCGCAATACGAGCAGTGATTCTGGCCGCCGGTTGGTGCAAGTGTGTTGACATCTCGGGATGTCACTGTGCAATGCCGGCCCTAGAGAGGCACGGCGTGCGGTGTACTGACATCGTGGACACCACGAGGATGTGGGTGCAGTACCGGCCCTAGAGGAGCGCTGGATGGCACCACGCTCGGCGTGCAGTGCCGGCACCTACAGGATAGGGTGTGGGAGTGCTGTCCATGGAAATGGGGTTACTCAAGGCCGTGGCACTCTGGTTGACCCGAGAGGACACGTGACCGGTTAAGTCTACCACGGGGCCCCAAGCAGGGGCTAGGGGTGGTCACGTGGTCGGGGTGCAGATCCTGTTGGAGGATTCTGGAAGGTGGGCGTGGCCAAGGGCGGAGCCAGAATATAAGCCGGGTCCCCCAGAGGGACCGGCGCTGTTGTTCATCCTGAAGAAACCTTCGTCGACGTTCTACAAGTCCCCAACACGTGGACCTGGACCTGAGCTGTTGGTCCTGGTCCGTTGTAGCTAGTTACGCTGTAATTAATGTAGTCAGCCTGGTGGTCACCACCACAGGTTGTTATTCTGTTCAGGGGCCGTTACCCCGTGTGTTGGTGTTAAATAAATCTGTTGCCTCCAAGAGTATGTCTGCGACTCAGTTGAATCCACTACACAAGTCATGATAGCCATCATTGAGAATCTGGAACGTGCACAGGTTGTGTTCACTCTGAGAGCGAATCATTCAGAGGCGATGAGAATCACAAATTAGCGGCGGGGGAAGGCATCCGGAACCACCATCAGGCTCCGTGGCCCTAAGGGCCGGTGACATTACCCAGCGGTAGAAAATTCGCAGCTCGTTGCAGAGGTTCATGGCTGGCTTCCACACTTGCGGGTGTATTAACCGTAGCAATATTAGGCACTGTCTGCTTCCAAGTGGGATTTTCAATATCCAGTGACGTCATTCGAAAGAGGACATTATATGCCGACATCACGGCTGAAATAAATAATTAAAATGCGCCACAAATTACTAAATTGGAATATATATACGTGTAGCAATAGTTGCCCCCGACTGGGAAAATTTGGCAGGACCTAAATAAGTCTTGAGACTCGGTGAGTGGTGGTGGTGGGTTGTAAGAACCCCCCCCCCCCACCACCACGCTTTGCCTATCCGCGTGAACCAAATTACTCTCAATTCAAACATAAATTAACTAATTTTGGAGCTTTCGTGACTGCAGGAATTATTCTTTGGTTTTTTCGGTAAAGTCACGTATAAAAATAAAATAATAAATTAAATAATAGCATACGACGTTTCGATTGCAACACAAGCAATCATCATCAGGTATAATGAAATAGCGACATAGAATATAACCAGAAAACTATAGACAGACATATAAGCAGACAGATATCACCAAGATACATAGAGAGAGCAACCCAGGTACAGAGAGAGGTGATCGTCTCTGTGGGGTGGCCTTAAATAGACAGAGGGGGGCGGAGGCAGAGAGAGGGAGGGGGTAGGGAAAACATTTACATGTCAATGAGTACTCCCTCTCTCTGCCTCCGCCCCCCTCTGTCTATTTAAGGCCACCCCACAGAGACGATCACCTCTCTCTGTACCTGGGTTGCTCTCTCTATGTATCTTGGTGATATCTGTCTGCTTATATGTCTGTCTATAGTTTTCTGGTTATATTCTATGTCGCTATTTCATTATACCTGATGATGATTGCTTGTGTTGCAATCGAAACGTCGTATGCTATTATTTAATTTATTATTTTATTTTTATACGTGACTTTACCGAAAAAACCAAAGAATAAATTAACTAGTTGCACACTGCACGCGCCCGATGACTGTTAAACACGTGACGTGCTTAGAAATGAACGATTCCTGCATTAATAGAGCCAATTCTAATTCAAGAAGAAGATCTCAGTGTATGCGCGCCTGTACCCACGTGCGGCGTGACGCAGGCAGCGGTGCACGTTCGTATGTTTGTATGTACGTAGGTTGAACTTCTTTCGCACCGTACGTAGCCAACCATGTAATAGGAGGATGCGGGGGAAGGACCACAAATTAAACACAAAAAATTAACCCGTAAAAACAAAGTTCTTCACTATAAATCCTTTATATGCGTGGCGGCTAGAGTCCTCTCGTCCTCTGGCTTGAGATGGCTGTCACCTATGGGTCAGATGATTGCCTGCCACCATTAAGCAATTGGTAATTAAATATCATTTTTTTCCCTAAAAAGTGTAAAATTTGGGGGAAAAAAATTCACGAAAATTAATTGTCACGCACAACGAGTCTGTGTGGAAAATGTCAGCTCGATTGGATCACGGGAAGTGGGTTAAAAAACGACCGAAATATTTGCACGGTCGTAAGTGCGCAAGCAAGCAAGCGCGCAAGCAAGCAAGCAAGTGAACTTAATATAAAGGATTTAAAAACAGTTCTAAAGAAATTCTTTTCAATATTAAATATTTAAAAGTGCATAGCTCCAGTGGCTTCCAAATAGAGCATTCCAGACAGCATCTGAAAGCGCGCGATGCGATCAACCGTCTTTGTTCGATGGCCGGCCAAAAGGATTGACTTGGTCGGTAATCCCTCTGTGGTTTTCGCTGAGGAGAGACCAATCCCTGCATCCCTACGGGTGAGAATGCAACCCTTACACTGCTGGTTTGGCGGGGCTGACAACGCAGCTTAGCTATCTGTCCAATGTTCAACGGAACAGGCAGACAATTTTGACTTTGAATAGTTGTTTAGCACGTGAGCCAATGAGCCGGTCTACCGGCGCTAATGTTCCGTCGTTAGAGGACGCCCGCCATCTGAAATGTCTTGGGTACGTTTAGCTTACCGGACATCTGTAAAAAAGAGCTTTATAGCTCATCGGATTCCTCTGGTCAGAATAAAGATTCTGAGTCTGAGAGCAGAGGAAGCCTTCTGCCGGACCCCAGGACACGGGGCACGCAGGAGAGGGTGACCACGATGAAGCCGGTCTACACAGCTGGACGGAGCATCATCTGGAGTCACTTGGGAAAGACTGACACTTGGGAAAGCGTCGTGACGTGGGGGGTAGCGCTGGATTGTCCGACGTTTCAGCGACTCGAACGGTCTTGGTCAGTGGTTCTTAACCTTTACTGCAGCCTTGCACCCCTTCGGATCTCAATCGTAAAACATATATATAATGTTAATAAATACATAGGTTTGATGAAACAAAGTAGTTGTACTTCCGTGCCCGTGCTTAATTTATGTTTCGATAATTTACCTTCTAAAAAAATCTGGACACGTCTCGCACCCCCAGAAAGGGCATCTCACACCACCGGGGGGTGCGTGCACCCCTAGGTGGTCCTGGCCGATTAGGGGGGTGGGCCCGAGGCAGAACTTATTATTTGGGGAGTCCAAATTCTGTTAATGAACTCCTCGTGAGATGATAGAAGATACAGACGGAGACAGAGTTGTAGCGAATGAGAGAGAGAGATGGAAACACAAAACAAAGGTGGTGTTACGCAAGAGGAGAGCGATCCAGACACGATATGGATGAGCGACTAATTGGATTTTTAGAAGATAGTTCACGTTATTGTTTTTTTGGGGGGGAATTTGAATTCAAGTTGCTGGTTCGTTCATCCCTTATCAGCCTATCTCTTCATGAATCCGGGACACCTTGAGTTTTTTTAGGCCGTGTTTAGGTGGCTCACGTCACCAGTGTTCGTCTCTAACTCTCTGTGTGTGTGCTGCTTCTTTGTCTCTCTGTGTGTGAGTTGTACTATATCTCTGCGTTTGTCTCTGTCTACTGTGTCTGTATCTCTCTCTATATCTCTCCACGCGCTATATCTGTATCTCTCTACCTCTCTCTGATGTTCTGTATCTGAATATCTGTCTCTACTTCTCTCTGTGTGCCGTATCTGAATATCGCTACCTCTCTCTGTGTGTGCTGCATATGTATATGTGTCTCTACTTCTCTCGGTGTTCTGTATCTGCATCGCTGCCTTTGTCTCTACATCTCTCTCTCTCTCTTTGGTGCTCATTCTATCCAGCTCTTGCCATTACGTGGGGTGGACACGTCTCTTCTTGGGGCAGGATATCGACAGCACAGAGTGGCTCATTTTCTCAACAAAGAAATGAAAGGGGTCTGCGAACCCATGAATCCCAGGGTCCTTTTGGCTTCGCTAACTGTCAACAGGAGGTAAGGAATGATGATGATGGTGGCTGCCGATGCCTCGGGCATAGATACGCATCTGTGGCAGAATGTAAAAAAGGCGTTTCAATGTTGTCTTCAGTGACCGTGGCGCCTTGGAATCGACCGCTGCGTTGGGAGGGTTTAATACCCATGTGAGCAAACATTCTGACACCTGGAGGAAGTTATTGGAAGGCATCGGCGAGGTCAGTTTAATAACTGCAAATACACTTAGGGTTACCATCTGCCCGGGTTTGGCCTGAAGTGTCTGGGAATTGGCATCTGTGTGTTCCGGGGGGCAGGAACTGATTTGTACCAATATCTGGTACCGGTGTTGTGATGAACTTTATTACACAGAATACTGCACAGTTTTATATCGACCAAGGCTGACTGCAGAATTATTGCAGGGGTTTTGACGGGAAAGGTGGGGACGCCACTCGCAAATCCAGGCCTCGCGACGGCCCCATTGAGGACAGAGGTTTGAAGGTTTTTTTTATCCTTCTAAAAGGTTAACTCTCAGTGAAAGAGGAGTCTGAAGCGGACGTACCGTGGGAAGGATTTAAAACATCTGTTGTTGTGACAGTGCCAAAAGTGCTTGGGGTCCAACAGGGAAAAAGGGTAAAATGAAAAAGCTATAGAAAAGGTCAGGGCACGTGCATGAACAACGGCATCTGGGGGTTGAGCAAGGGGAGAGGATGCAGCCTTCGTTGAGGGAACAATGATGGAAAGATATTGACTCGCGTAGCATTGATTATTTGCACAAGCGAGCAGGGGAAATGAAAGATACGAAAAGAAGAGGGGCAGCAAAAAATAAATATATAAAAAATTGTAACGAACTTTGCGGGGGGAAAAATGCACCAAGAGAATACTGTGTAAAGTCAAGCCATTAATGTATTTTAAATATCACATCTTGATAATTGCGATGATATTCATTGTTATGGTTGTAAGTAATTGCCACCGTAGTGCACTTGCAGTCGTAGCGTTAGTGAAACTGTTAATTGCGCTCGTCGTAGTTACCGAAGTCTTTAACCCTGCGAAGATCGGTAATTCAAGGGGGGGGGGGGGGGGCTGCCTTGCCTGATCCTGGTGCGTTCCCTGGGCCGCGTGGGAATCCTCGGCCACCCAAACAGACCAGCGCAGATGAGGTATAGCAACAACAAAACAAGGGTCACAATAGTCTTGGTTCTTTCGATGAAGTCACGTAGAAGGGAAACAATAAATAATAATATAAAACAATACAATTCTCACGACGTTTCGACTGCAACACAAGCAATCATCATCAGGTGTGAAATCCACAGCAAGAACATTTTGTGTTGCAGTCGAAACGTCGTGAGAATTTTATTGTTTTATATTTTTATTATTTTATTGGTTCCCTTCTACGTGACTTTACTGAAAGAACCAAGAATATGAATCCCAGATTTGAAGCTTTCGTGACTGCAATGATTCATATTCTTAGGTTTTTTCGGTAAAGTCACGTAGGTAAAAAATAATAAAAGTAATATAAAAAATAAAATAAAAATCACGACGTTTCGAAGGCAACACAAGCTTCCGTCTTCAGGTGGAACCGTCACAGCACGATAGCTGTATCACTTTATCACTTGATACAGCTATCGTGCTGTGACGGTTCCACCTGAAGACGGAAGCTTGTGTTGCCTCCGAAACGTCGTGAATTTTATTTTATTTTTATAAATTTACATTTTTTACCTACGTGACTTTACCGAAAAAACCTAAGAATATGAATCCTTGCAGTCACGAAAGCTTTAAATCGAAATTTAAGGGTCACAATGTTCAAATTACACAGTCGCGGTCCTGCTGGGTGGGTGGTTGTAGAAGCAAAGGGTGCGCAGAATCCCTGGGTGCGCAGATGACGCAGTCTCGATTTGCCTCTTGCTTTCTAACAACGCGCGGAGTCCATGCAATTCAATCTCATTGTGCTGGAGACGCAGTACGTGATCAATACGTAAATAAATATGGCAAACTTGTTCCGTGCACAGTTTACGTTCACGCTCAGTGATGCAATAATTCAGAGGCGTAGGAAATCACAGACTCACGCGGGAAGGCAGCCAGAACCACTGTCAGTAATTGTCTCCAAGGGGCCGTCTGTAAATTACGTCACGCGATTTTGGAAGATTTTTGACCCCCCCCCCCCCCCTTCGTCACACGGCGTCAGAAAAAATCAGACCCTCAAATATGACGTCACAAAGCTCTGCCCCCCCCCCAAAAAAAACATGCTTCAAATCGCTTTAAACTATTGTCATTGTAGTGCGTATTTAATGTGGCGCTGCACTCTGATGTTGTAGGATAAAACATTTATGAAAAAGTCGATTTAATTAAGTAAAACGTGTCGTCTATGTTTATTTAAAGTTGCGCATTTTGATGTGAGGTCACATTTATCACCCCCCCCCCCTCGTCACACATCGTCACAAATGTCTGACCCCCCCCTAGGTGCGTGACGTCATTCATGGACGACCCCCAAGCTCCGTGGTCATATATTTGGATGTTTGGCCAACTCCATGAATGAGTGTTTAATACACGAGGGGAAATCCGCGCGTGTGAAAGAAGTAACACTCAGTCCTCGTCCAGATGGAAATTAACCCACGTGCTGCACTGCCAACATACCCTGTGGCATGCCTGCAGATGGCGACCCACGGATAGGGAGGGAGTTTCACAGATGTGTGTGTGATCCAGCAACCCTCACGGCCTTCACAGTGCTGAATCACAGGCCACATGAGCATAGCCATCGGTGCTCGCTATGTCCACAGAGTGGTGCAATGCCACCATTGGAACCTCCTTTGCGTCATCTGGTCCAACACCATGTGAGACTAGGCTCTAAGAAAAGCTGTCTCGGGTGTGGACCAATCAATTTCAAGGACAGTGCATATATTATCAGAGTTGTGTTTTTTGTTTGCATTCCGACCGCAGATATTGTGGTCAATGCAAACATGACTCCTTGTAAAAAAGGTGTCAGTTTTGTTGGTGCAATGCCAGTTACAGTCCAACATCGCCAGAGAAGTTAAAGCTTATTAAAGGGAATCGCAAGACGCTCAACATATACACAAACACCATTCTGTGTGAAAAATAAAAAATGAGACAAATTCTTAGCAAAATATTCAAAGGCCTAAAGATGCAAACTGACTATTTAAATCAGTCTGACACGTAGGCTTTCACGACTAATATTATTCGTACGAAAATGTGAACCCGCCACCGCCCGACACAGCCAACCAGTAAGGTTTGTCACGTAAACAAAACATGCCAATTAGTTACTACTTCAACCCACCGGTGTGTTGGAGAGTGGATTTACTCTTTGTTTACAGAACAAACCTCACTGCTTGGCTGTGTCTGGTGGTGGTCGTGGTGGGTTAACGACACATTTATACTTACGCGATCTAACCTAAAAACCTTTATCACGATTACTATTTGGATGTCACCTCTTATTAAACTAATGAGCGAATGAACATTGGAATGGGAGCAATGCAAACACAACAGTGAGCAAGTTGTGCTGCCAGCATCCTTCCAGTGAGTTCCCACTGCACATTGCGTCTCATCTCAAATATTCCAAGGGCACCCCCAGTGGCAGTTGTCCCTGTGTGGCAAAAGGTGACTCGGCACCGCACCTGCGAGCGGGAACGAGTCTGCAAGTAGAGGTGTGATGATTGCTACGCAAATTCCAATTGAGTGATGTGCGGGCAATATTCTATTTTTTGGACCCTGACACCGGCACGCGATCGCCTATTCTTGTGAATTACGGAATTTGATTCTTAACATTTACTGTGAAGCAGACGGCGTGGATTTATAGTGAATCTACCCGCGGTAATAACCAGGGTAGACTGCAGGATTCGAACCGCGAGCCTTTGCAATAAGCAGGGGAACAAAGCACCACTGGGCCAAGTCAGCACCCCCAAACATTGTATGCGTTTCACAACTGCAGTATCGTGTTGTACCATTTGACGAGTGCCCCTTGTCTGTTCGCACACTCGGCGCAATAATCACCGCGAGTCCGTGCTGATGTCTCTGCAAAGTAACTTTACTGTGAAGGTTCGTTTAAAGTAATTTTGTCCGAGTCAACTTTCATTTCAGAAAATTCGTTTCACGTATAATGTTTAGCGCACTGCTTTCGATTTCTTCTGTAATGCAGTTGTTTCAAATCCCCTGTTTTCTATTAGCTGCATTGCTGTTCTTGTTTTGATGTCATTGTCGTGTTATTGCTTCTGTTATTGTGGTGACTCACTATTGCTCGCGAGACTGTCCCCTGGTCCCTTGCGTCCTCGCCGGCTCAAACAAAGCACACTCGACATGAACTCGCTGCAGCGATGTCCACCATTCTGCAACGAGAGGGACTGTGGTCAGTGTCAGGACGAAAATCACAACACATGATCGATCAGTGATACACGATCGCAGCGTGATGGGGAGTGGGCGAGCAAAATGATCAACTCACGCACACGGTAGGGCGCGATGCCAGGCAGAGAGATGTGGGCAAAGTGGGGAGGGGGTCGCGGCTTGCTTACAAATTATAACGGAGATACACAGGGAAGAGGCGCGGTGTTATTTAATTGACGTTACTCCGTGGACAGCGTTTGGGGACATCCTGCGTCTGATTCTTGTGTTGAAAAAATCAGTTTCTACAAAGGAGTCAGCAGTAAAAGCCAAACCACACGTAAAACACAACAATGGCAATTTGGCCATATTTTGAAATAATTAAGATACAATCTGCCTTTCTGCCAACATGTGCATCATGCGCTATGTGCTTGCACGTGATTTACAGCTAGCGACAATATCTAGGTCATTCACTACACGTGCCAGGTAAGAATACATTTTGGCAGAGTAATTTACATAGCTTCGTCAATCCATTGTTGGACGAAGTCTGCACACTGCTTACTTTAACTTACCCAAGCCAAAGTAATTTCGAAGCAGTTGCTCATCTCGTGTTTACAACCCTGTGCCAGTGCTGGAATTTCCACATTCCTATGGCAGGGGTGAGTCTATCCACAGGACAACTGCTGACTTCCCCGCAGAGCGGCATATTCATTTTATCGACCACAGAGTGATAATAGGCTGAGTCGTCCCCCAGGCAGAATTTGAACTCGTCCCCTTCCCACTGCGAGCTGCACACTCCACCGCTGAACCACGCGGCCTGATGTACATCGAACAAAACCCAACACATTCGTCCAAAAACACTGCCTTCAGAGGGACCTTATATATAACCATGGCCCATCTTTGTTGTACACTGCACTATTGACGAACTGTTCTGTTTGTGTACCTTGTGCACCGCCGCTAACGCAGTATCACCAAGCCATTTGTTAAATATGTTAATGTTACCCATATTAAATCCTCACTTGTGTGAACACATGGAATGAACTGTTTAAGCGGCTCAAAGGGGGCTATTAACAAGTCATGTATCTTGTATTGCTAAGTCATTTGGTGAAATAATGTATAAACCACTCACGGAGTAACCCCGGGGTAGCCCCACTGCATCATCGCTGTGAGCCATGAAGCTGTGTGACTCACAGTGCTGAGCTCTGCTGACTAAGCAAGAACGTGTACTGGGGCTGTTGGTGGTGGTGATGGGTTGGTAATATGGTGATGGGGGTGGTGGGGGAGGTGATAGTGATGGCAGTGGTGACAGTGGTGATTTAATGCGAGTTGTGGTTGTGGTGATAATAATGGTGGTAATAGTGATGGGGGGGTGAAGGGGGTGATGGTGGTGGCGGTGATGAGTGTGGGTGGCGGTGATGAGTGTGATATTGATGGAGGTGGTGATAGTAATGGGGCCGTGCTGATTGGTGGGAGTGTTGATTTATTTAGAGGGAGCGTTAGTAAAGCAGACAGTACGCTGCGATAGGAACCCGGCGAACCGAGTTCAATTCCCGCTCACAGCCAACATTGGTGACGAATATCTGAACCGGTCCTGGGCTTCCCCTAGGTCGACTCAGCCTAAAATGAGTACCTGGTGCACTGCGTAAACATCCTCACGTGGGCTAGTCGCGCGTGGTGCTGGCCATCCACCCCCTCGTGTGCCGTGCCAGCCTTCATAGGCGCTCGGAAACACCACTTGCCTCAAACGTCTTTTAAGGCTATACGGGGGATCTTTGTCTTTGTTGGTTTACGTGGTGGTGATAGTGATGTGGGTGGTCATGGTGATGTGGGTGGTGATGTATTAATGGAAGTGAAGGTGATCAATTTCAGATTTAATTTCTTCTAGAATTTAAGACAACGGAACTCTATATCGACCTGCGTGTAAATAAACGTGTGTGCGGTCCGATTATCGGGTTGTAAATGTCTCTTCTTAGCGTTATCGATAATGCACCTGCAAAAAAAACTCCTTTTAAAAAATCGCTTTGCCATACACATCGATATATCTGTGAATAAAGAAGGCTTCCAACATTGGGCCCGGTATAAATGAGCAAAGCAAACAAGTTGCCTAAACGATCGGAGATATTTTGTTGGAGGGACACGGCTCAGGAAACTGCTGCAGACAGACAGGACACGACAGAAGTGATGGGACACAGAAGTGGATCGAATAAAGAGGCATGTTTGGGGAGAACTGATCTTGAAAACGAAAGGCAACGTATATGATGATTTAAGAATGTTTTTGATCAGCATATATTACCTGCTGTGACGTACAAACCAAAAAGGGAAAACATGAAACACCACTTCGAGTAACATGGCAATATATTATTTTTTAATGTATTTTACGAGGTAATCTCTATAATGCATAACTCTTTTTCATTAGTGACCTGGCCACAAATGATATCGTGTGGAAATGTATAGCAGCCACTTACTCTGAAAGCATGTTTCTACACGTTTCTAAATGTGGAGGGAAACACCGGAGGACCCGGAAAAAAATCCACGCGACCACGGTGAGAGAGAGACATCCACATTACAAATATACAGCAGGCGTCTGGGTCGGGTTCGAACATCACGACCACCTATATACCAGGCGAAGTCGTTAACATCTCGGCACCGCGGCGCAGGCATCAGAAAACACCGCGGTCTCGTTCGCGAATAGTAACGCAGAACACGTAGCCACACGGAACTCCAACACATTCCTCAGTAAACCCTGCCTTACACATTCCTCAATAGCAAGGTGACCAATATGTTCAGTTTGTTTTGTGAGTCACTATCAACACAGCAGCAGCAGCAACATCGCCAAATAAGCAGACGCAATGGCAACTGCTCAGACCAGGGTGTCGGCCACCAGAGGCATTTTTTTCGAATTCGGTAAAAAAAACTCCTCAATATTTGAAGAGCCGCAATGCACGCGAATACGAGGCGGTCCTCCACAAACAGATTTATTTAAAGAGCCGCATGCGGCTCCGGAGCCGCAAGTTGTCGACCCCTGACTCAGACCAAGCACCAAACGCAGGAGACGGCGGTGAGAATGGGCTGCAGCAGCAGCAGTTGCAGCAGCTGCAGCAGATGCGGCAGCACCAGCAGCAGCTGCAGCAGCACCAGCAGCAGCTGCAGCAGCACCAGCAGCAGCTGCAGAGGCACCAGCAGCAGCTGCAGAGGCACCAGCAGCAGCTGCAGCAGCACCAGCAGCAGATGCAGAGGCACCAGCAGCAGCTGCAGCAGCACCAGCAGCAGCTGCAGCAGCACCAGCAGCAGCTGCAGCAGCACCAGCAGCAGCTGCAGCAGCACCAGCAGCAGCTGCGGCAGCACCAGCAGCAGATGCGGCAGCACCAGCAGCAGCTGCAGCAGCTGCAGCAGCACCAGCAGCAGCTGCAGCAGCACCAGCAGCAGCTGCAGAGGCACCAGCAGCAGCTGCAGCAGCACCAGCAGCAGCTGCAGCAGCACCAGCTGTAGCTGCTGCAGCACCAGCAGCAGCTGCAGCAGCACCAGCAGCAGCAGCAGCAGCAGGAAGAACACTGGCGAACGGAGTGGAACAACGAGGAAGTCCAGAATAATGAAACACACAAGCCACAATAGTGCGACTGTGGCCATGAAACCCAAACTATGGACCATAGAGCAAGGCCGTAATTATAATTGGCCGTAATTATAATTGAATATTGGGGGGGACACATCCCCCCCCAATTTTCAAATATGCTCAAAATATCCCCCCCCCCAATATATTGCTATAAAATAGATTTCTGTTTACATGATTGTGGTTATGGTTGTACTTTATTAATCCCTAATCTCTGCCATTGCATACAATGAAACAAGAAAAGGTAAAAAAGAAAAACAGAGCAATGTAATACAATACACTATTAGACATTATTGTAAAAACTAAATAAAAAGTCCATCCTATGTGTTACTGAATTTTTTTTATATTTTAGGCAGGAAATGGCAGGAAATTCGTTTTCAAATTTAGATTTTTTTTTGGAGGGGGACCCCAGACTCCCTGGAAGATTTGGTCCCCCCAATGTTGACCTCCTGGCTACGGCCTTGCCATAGAGTAACAACAACAACCACCATTCGCCACTAAGTGACGGTGACGTCACCACGACGCTTGTGCCAGGCCATGTGCACCTTAAGGCCACGTGAAGTGTCGAACGCCCGCTGGCAGGAGGTCACGGGGCAGGTGCCACGGGTCGACTGACAGATGACCAAGACGAGTGGCTGATGCACCACCTGTGCCCCCTACTGCGCCAACTTGCTGTGCTTTATCCACCCAGCGCTCCACTCGTTGTTGTGAGCGTCGCTCCTCCGCCCCCCGTTGTTGTTGGAGGGCGACTGCCTCCAACTGCCCAGTTGCGTCCTTCACGAGTCTCTTCCACTGAGGCCGATCTTGACACCGCTGGTACCAGTCATTGGCAAGTCCACTCAGCTCCACGTCCTCCTGTACCACATCACTCCATCTCTTCTCTAGCCCGTGCTGCTCCCGTTTAGCCTCCTCGATCCGGCCGAACAAAGCGGCTTAGGCATGCCCACTGTGGCATGTGCTCCTTCAACAGAGGAGGAGGAAGAGCAAACCTGCACGATGTATCTGCTGAAGCCCTCTCGTCGTGGCCAACAGACCTCGACGTTGACCATTTAGCTCCTGAACATACGTCCATCATACGCAATAGAATAGAAGAGAGGTTCTTACCGGCAATTCCGCATTCACATTCATATAACTGAATGCGAGTAGGAAACACACCGAGCCCAGGCTGTGGGTAATGCTACAGGGCCCCCCCCCCCCCCGCTTCCCCGCCACCTCCCCCCCACGAAACTCGCAACCCCCCGAGACGCACTGGGCTCCCCGCACACTCAGGGTCTGTAGTCAGGGCCTCCTCCACCCACGATTGATGCGAAAATCACCCCCACTTTCTACACAAACTCAACTCGTGTGTGTTTTATATAAAGTATATATATATGCATTTATTGTACACAGTTGTTGAGCAAAAGCCCAAGACGCCAAGTGGCCAGCAACACACAGCACCATCGAATTTGTAACAGATGACAGTCATATAAATTACGTTAAGATAAGAACACGCTTTTTTGTATTAAGCAAGGTTATCATTATTATGAGCGATTGGAAGAAAGAGACGGTGATGGGAGGAGGAAATTCAAAGTGGAGCAGCGCAAGGTAAGAAGCAGAAAGATAAGTGAGGTGACCTGCAGTGTGGTGAGTGGATAAGTAGGTGAGTGATTTAGTGAGTGGGTGAGTTGATATGTGAGTGGGTGAGTGAGTGGGTGAGTGAGTGAGTGGATGGGTTGTTGGGTGAATGAGTAGGATAGTTAGTGGTTGAGTGAGCGAGTGAGTGGATGAGTATGTTGTTGTGACCTGCAGGTGGTGGATGAGATGAAGCAGTGTCTCAGACCAAGTACTCAACACGGGTGGAGGAGTCAATGAGTCAAGTTCAGGGAAGCGCTCATCGGTACGTAGCGCAGTGGCCCATGGCCAATTTCAGCAGCGAAAATCTGAACCGGATCTGGGCCTCCCCTAGGACGACTCCACCTTAAATGAGTAGCATAAATGAGGAGACAAAAGGCAGAGAGATGGGCGTGGTGCTGGTCACTCAACCCCTCGGGTGCCGTGCTGGCCATAATAGGTGCTCGCAAACAGCACTTATGTTATTGGCTATAAGGGGGGTCTTTGTTTTCTACGTGAGCACCGTCACCATCTTCAAGATAGTCATTTCATGCCTACCTCTTCCCTCTCATCTCACTCTACTCCCCTCGACGCACTCTCCTACCTCTCCCCTCTCATCCCAATCCACTCCCCTCCATGCACTCTCCTACCTCTTCCCTTTCATCTCACTCTACTCCCCTTCATACATTATCCTGCCTCTCCCCTCTCATCTCACTCTACTCCCCTCGACGCACTCTCCTGCCTCTTCCCTTTCATCTCACTCTATTCCCCTTCACGCACTTTCATACCTCCCCCCTCTCATCTCACTCTACTCAAGTGTACAGGGTGGAATATGTTGCATGCAGTACGGTAAGTAAATAAAATACTGCGCGCATAAAGAGAACGGATAAGCTGCAGACTGTAGAACTGAGACTATAAACACGCATCTTTTGGCGACACCAGCATAAACAGCATGTACATCGCATGTTACCAAATGTGCCCTGATATAGTTTAGTACCACAATAAATCAGCAGACACTCCGCCTCCTTGCCATATCTCTTCCTGTACATCAAACATAAAATTATTTTTTGTACACGGCCACACGGCGCTCTGCTGATGAGGCACTGAGTGTCAAAAACGATTCCAGAGTTTCTGTTGAACTGATTCTACTGAAATGATGCACTACCGGGAGGGACATGTGGCTGATAAGATGTGTAAAAATAAATGCTCGTGTTTTATGCGGAGGAACAGATATGTGATGGAGGCGGATTGTGAGATTATCTGTTTTGAATAAGACGACCAAAGCAGCTTTGGGGAGTGACGTGGGATGATGGAGATGGAGGCAGCATGCGTGGGATGATGATGATGATGCGAGTGGGATGATGATGCTGGTGCGATGAGCGTGCAGGATGCATATGTAGTATATGACTCGGGTTGTCAAATAGCAGCCGGTAAACCGGTAACCGTTTTCAGATTCGATTACCCGTCCTGAATGTCAGGCACCGAACTCGTTTCCAGTGGAGTGTCAGTCACGGACTCACCAATTGGCACAAGCCGTACGGTGGCTTAAATCACCGCGTGGTGAAATGTGCCCTCGTTCCCCAGTACGCAAGGTAATGGTGGTGGTGGTGGTGCAGCTCTGCACGTGCTTGTGCGCGCCACCGGCGCTGGCAGCGAACGAGCTCGAGCGGGGCATCTGTTCGACTCTTCCACGCTGAGTGGGCATCTGGAAAGAGGCCGGAGTGTCCACACTGAACCCCACCACAACATCGATCGGCCGGTATTTAACCTGGGCGGTCGATGTAAGCGTGGTGAATGTATTTCTACTGATGGGGGGAGGGGTGAAAGAAACTTGCTCCAATGTTTCAGCTTCCTCGCGCGGGAGATGGAATCGAACCGGTGACCTCTGGACCGCAGCTCCAGTGCGCTGTTGATCAATAAACTGTGGTGGAGGCAGCTTTGTTTTTTGTCTTCAGATAAAGAGATAAACGTGCTATGCGCATTGCTAGACATCCACGTATGTGCGGCAAATCGGTAACCACTTTTCTACCGTTACATTTTGTTCGTTATTCCGTCACCGTTAATGCAACAAACTAATTTGTTTTCAACCCTATGTAGTCGATATCACTGTGGGATTCAAACCGTGCGAAATCATCCATCTCCCTCTCGCTTCTCGCTCAACACCCTTACACGTGCTCCTTCGCTGATCCAGCAACCCCTCCACCACCACCACCACCAGCAGCGGCCTCCACTCTGGCAGAGGTCGCTCTCCTTCACCTGGAATCCTCCCGCACGGTCGAGCACCCGAAAATCCTCTTGCCTGTGGCTCTCAAGTGACATCCATGGCACCCGCCTTTAGCGATAGAGACACCTCCGTATCATGCCCGCGATGCGCATGCCCCTTCCCTGTGTGTCACCACCACCACCACCACCATCATCTCGAGATGCAGTGGCATGTGAGAGCTATCAAAGCACCGCCACTGTTGTGCCGCACGCCGTGGCGTGGGCATCACACGGGATGGACCGGTGCCGAGGTGAAGATGTTGGCCGACGGCTGCGGGCGGACGCCACTTCTTACCTTGTGTCTGGGAGGGCGCCGAGCACGGCAGTCTGGGCACACGGAGAGCGGCGCGGGACGCCGGAGGAGAGAGCGAGAGAGCGGATGAGTGAGAGCGGAGAGGAGGAGGAGGAGAGAGGAGAGCGAGAGCACCTCCCCCCTCTCCTCCTCCTCCTCCGCACGCCGTGCACAGTCCCCGTTGCCTGGCAACTCCTCATGCAATAATCATGAGCCTGTTAGCAAGAACCTTTCTGCAAAGGTTAAACCACAAGCTGCTTTACAAAAAGAAGGATTTGTTGTTCAATGTTAGCATTAAAATGTAAACGTGGATGCGCAACGCCGGGCTGCATCACTTTCCCCGTTCCGCTGGCGCGTCCACTAAAGTTGATTGGGATCGCCTGCACAGTTGAGCATGCTGGGCCTCATCACAATCAATTATGCTAACGACTGCTGCCGCTTCGCTTGTGACGCAATTCGGGATGTAAGCCGCTGCCGACGATGTCGTCGCGAGGCAAATATTTAGTTGGAAACTTCCAAACGCCCATCGCTGCGGATTAATGATTTGGTGGTGGTGGTGCTGCTGCTGCTCGTGCTGGTAGCGGCGCGCGCAAACACCAACAACGCACACGAACGCATTCGTCAACAGCACCGTGGCCTTAAAGAGAATGGAAAAAAATAAAGCATCACATTTAAAATACATAATAATAATAGACAACGTTTCGGGGGTAACGTCCCTTTATGTATAGAACAAAAAAAACAAATAGGTTGTTACGATGTTAATGCCGCGCGCGAGACGCTATTCAGCAGATCTGGTCCCATCGCAGCTGCAATGCAACCCGCGCTTGCGTAACTTACTGCCCTCCCCAGAGACGCGCCGAGTCGCAATTCACCAGCCGCGTCTGCAATTCCGGCACCCAGCGTAACAGCAGCAGCAGCAGCCGCACGCACACACACAACCCGGGCCAGCGTCGAGGCGGCCCCTTTCTGGAAGGGTGATTGCTGTCGTGCTGTCGATGCACATCCAATCCGCTGGAAACGGCCATCCGTATGGGGTGGGGGGACCTTCAATAAGGCGTCACACATGTGTTCGTGCAATTCTTTCTGTTTGACCAACATGCAGGCGCGGTATGTAATTTACGGGTGTTGTGTATGCCATGTTATATCGAGCATCACACTATGCAAATGCACACCGTAGAGGTGTATGCACGGTCAGTAGTGATTTTCAGTGTGCCACCGGTGTTCATGTGAATTGCGTGTGAAATCGCAAATCATAATGTGCTATATCATCATCGTGGGCATGCATGCTGAATACGTGACTGCAGGTTTCCACTGTGATGATATGACATTCCATTCTGCAGCAAACTTGGCATAAACAATTCGTAATAGTATAAGAAAATGTATCATCTGCGTAGCAAAACTGAAGCAATGTAATTACTGGTCGATATGCATACAAGAGACATTCAATGTGTTATAATCGTCGTTGTATCATCATCGCCAATTTCCCTCCTCTTTCCCCAATCCACGAGTTATGTGTGTATCTTGTTCTCTGTGACGTCAACATTCACGGCAACAATGTGAACGGATATCCCTCGATTAACGAACGTTCGGTTTACGAAATTTCGAGTGAACGCAATTGACAAATTTTGGCCACTTTTTATTGAACGAAATCGAATTTCCGCGTTTACGAAATGTCACAGCGGCACGCGCCATGAGATCAAACAAAGCAGCAGCACCTGGGAGGCTGCATCATCCATTCGCGATATTGCCACGGAATTCCGGCAGTGCAACAGTAACACCTCCAACATCACATTTCCAATAATTCCAACGTGCAGATCTTTTGGTGAGTTCCCTGAAAAGGAGGTTGTTGGTTCGATCCCGACCCTGATGCCTGGAAATTTGGAGTTTGCATGTTCTCCCCGTGGTCGCGTGGATTTTTTTCGGGCACTTCGGTGTTTTCAATCCACATTTAGAAACATGTGTTCAGAGTATTTGGCTGATATAAATTTCCACATGATAAGCCACTGGGATGAGCTGTCATTTGTGGCCAGGTCGCTTCTGAAAAATAGCTATAATGTATAGCTCAGTGGGCCTTACATAATACAAAATGATTTAAAAAATATTTATTTATTTTCATTATACATAAGTCATTATTTAATCGTTTTAATCTTTTTGCCTTTTGTTATTATTTTTAGATTGTAAAACTGATACATGCGTATAGTTTTCGATTCGGAGCAAAGTTGTAATGACTGTCCGAAACACATCCCTCATTTTTTTATATTAAATTCGTTTCATGCGTGGTATTTGAAGAACGTATCCGTTTCGTAAATCGAGGGATACCTGTATATGGGCGATCAGAGGCTGTGGTCTCCGGTATTGAAGTCAGTTTCATCACTCTTTTTGATTGAGGTGTCCTCCGCTTTGTGTAAACATTCAGTAAAGATGTCTCCAAAATGTGTCCCAACAACTGCCCATGCTTCATGGGTGGCGTCTACACTTTTATAATCCGGTCCAGGAAGGAGTCTTTTGAGTGTGTAATGTGAATAAAATCCCTTCACTTGTATCATTATAATGTGCATGCATTATGCAGTGCAGTACACACAAATATGGTTATCGAGGAATACAACCAGACCAGTATCATCATGACACGATAGGCCAGAGTATGCGTTACCACATTTAAAATGTATAAGTTGTTAACTTTGCAACATCCGCGGGGCACCAAAACCGCGCGCGTGTGGGCGACGCATGGAGCGCATGGGGACGAGCTTTGGAACGCGACGCTGTTTCACGACGACATAGGGGAAACATTTGGTGCCAGTTGTCAAATCTCAATATTTAAATGAGCACCAGAAAAATTGTGGGTAACGTTTAACCCTCATCGCTTGAATTCCTATCTCACGTGAACAATAATTTGTGTATCTAGAGATAAGTATATCTGGGAGAGATGTTGGTGATCCTGCACATGCTGGCGATAACCCTATGACACCTGTCATCAGCAGGAGTCGTGATGTAACGCTTTATTTCTATGCATAACCGGTAACCGCGTGAGAGGAAAAAAACGGTTACCGGTTTGCCGCACAAAGAAATGTCTGGTTGTTTGACTTGCATCCCACTGGGATTTTTGCACACAGCGTTGGTGTACGGTGATTTTTTTCTGCAATATTTTGCTGTCTTTACTTGGATTTTCTGTTTGCACTTAGTCACATATTCACTTTAAGATGTTTTTTGTTCATGTTTTTTGTTTGTTGCGGTTGCACCCGATTCAAGAGACGAATGGCTCACAGGGCTATACCTAATTAATGAAACTGAACTTGTAACTGAGAAGCGAAGAGAGCTCCCGAGGTGTTAATGATCAGCAGCGCGCTGGACTCGAAACGCAGAAGTTCGCCGGTTCGATTCCATCTCCCGGTTCGGCAGCTGCTGAAACAATCGTTTCAAAAATAAGTTTGCTGCTGGGTGCATGCTTGGAACATAACGAACTCGAGTGCTTCATTTGAGAATACGATTTCACGGCGTGAAAAACGTGAATCACTCTCAACTCGTTTCCATCGCTCACACCGCAATGGTTGTGTGGGTTTTCTTCCACTTCAACGATTCTGGAGCACCCCCCAGTGGTGTTGACACATCACGATGCGCGCCACCAGCACCATCACACACCGCGCACGTTGCTCTGGCTAAGGGGACGTCCATAAAGACGTCACGTACATGGGGGGGGGGGGGGGGGGTCAGACATTTGTGACGATGTGTGACGAGGGGGGTTGAGCAATGTGACGTCACATCAAAATGGGCAACTTTAAATATAGACAACACGTTCTACTTAATTAAATAGACTTTTTAATAAATGTTTTCTCCGACAACATCAGAGTGCAGCGCCACATTAAATACGCACTACAATGACAATAGTTTAAAGCGATTTGAAGCATGTTTTAGTTTCAAAATGGAAATATGGCTGGGGGGGGGGGCAGAGCTTTGTGACGTCATATTTAAGGGTGGGTCTGACTTTTTGTGACGCCGTGTGACGAAGGGGGGGGGGGGTGGTCAAAAATCGTCCAAAATCGCGTGACGTCATTTATGGACGGCCCCTATAAAACCGCATTCCCGTGATTTTGCTCCAACGCGACTGCGACGTGTCGATCAAGTCGACCACCGTCTGTCTGGCCCACGTGTGTTGTTTACCCATGATGCAGTTCCGGGACAACGTGTTCATGAGTTTATCGCCAGAGAAGTGACCGACTTTACAAGAGAAGTGACATTCCTCTGCCGTTCTAGAGGGTATGTACTCTGTCTACGACAGGGGTCGGCAACCTACGGCTCCGGAGCCGCATGCGGCTCTTTACGGGCTGCTTCTTGACGATATGTACGTATGTACAGTAAGTACATAGATGCATTGCGGCTCTTGAAATACTGAATTTTGTACCGAATTGGAAAGAAATGGCTCTTCTTGTTATTTTGGTTGCCGACCCCTGGTCTACGAGGATACCAAACATCTCGCCTTGGCTGGAAGAGTTCAATGAAGGCTGTCGTCCCTTTGTGAAAATCGTGATTTGATCCCCCGTCAAGAATGTTGTCCGGGTACACCAGCTCCTCAGTCTAGAACGCACGTGCGTTTTCAGTAGAGTCGGTAAGAGTTAACCGGTAACCGTTCTTATAATCGGGTTACCGGGTCTGAAAGTCAAGTACTGGTAAGGGTTTTCAGTGGAAAGTTAGTCATGAATGCAATGATTTAGGACATGAACTCCAGGAGATGGAATGAAACTGATGACCTACGGATTGCAGATCAAGCGATCTCACCACGACACCATGGCAGCTCCCTTCACTTCAAAGTTTGTTGGAAAAATTGTGAAAAGTTAAATTACAAAACATATACAGTAATACCAATATAGAAGGCTGCTGTTACTCGGTGAACACTGTGCACAAAATTACATTCATTTCCAGGATGAAAAGAAAACATACATTTCAAAGAAAATGTACAGTGGCAGGAGGCTGTTTTTCAAGGGTCAACACCCAAATAGCAAACGTACGCCTATTTTCCAGAACATAAATGGTACACCTATAGACAGTGCACACACACACACCTCCTACTAACGTTGTGAGAGTTTGTTTTTTTCCTCCTCCTTCAGAGTAAAAATCACAACATGGGAATCAAGACGACATGGATGTCACGATGTTATTATCGGAGGGATAAACATCGATGTTAAAACATTGATCCATCGGAACTTAAACCCCGATGTGACCGATATGTCGGTGTTCTTGCCCATTCCTCGCTCACGCCAGGCAGATAAATAACAGCGTCACCAAGACCAGGCATTATGTTATCTCAGGCGGAATACAAGACACATTTAGACTGTTAAAATAGTTTATTGACTTTTGATTGCGAATTTAAATAAAACTGAGAAGCATATTAAATACAGTAAATCCATTCCAGTTATGTTTTGCTATTTTTAAAAATATATATTTTTGTTGTTGCTTATAATGTAAAATGCTTCAGGGCTGTGAAAGTCGGTGTGGCGCAGCATCGTTCTTCACGGGGCGTGCAAGACGGCATGGTGGACAGCAGTGGTGTAGATGGTTGATAACCGACAAAAACAATCCTCACAAATAAAAATGACTCTGGCGATGTGCTAAGTGCCAGCTTACAGGCCTCAAACCCGAGCCAGCATTTGACTCGACCCATCGTCCTCCCTCTGGAGGTAATAAAAATGAGCACCGCTCTGGAAAATTAAGAGTGGTCATCCTCCCGAAAAGACTTGTCCCCACCACGAGAATACGGAATTTTCATCACTGGCTCAGTATGCGGCCACTAAAGTGGAGTGCGTCCCCTTTGCTCATGTGAAGAGGCAATTTCAATTGAGTCATTTATAAAATAGTGGAGGTAATTTTAATCAGCATTAGCGTAGAATTATAGCAATCTGACACACCGCGAAGAACCAATGAAAACACATTGAATTAAATCCACTCAAATGATTCAACTCTTTAAATAACGGCTGTCATCCTTAACCATCGTCACGATTAATAATGAACCATCAAACACCAATAATTGCCCGATCATATTTACTAAATGCCACACATTTAAACATTCACTTTTGAAAATAAAATATTTAAAAAACATTTGCAAACACAAATAAAGTATTCTCAACAAGAATAAGCGAATCTGTCATCCATATTAAAGTTTATGTACAGTAGATTCTCAACCAAAACAAACCCTTAAACCAACCACTCTTGGCAAGCTTTGTATTTTCTGTTTGTGGGGTAATTGTCATTGCAGCAAATCTGTGCACTCCTGCCATGCATACCCCAGATCACTCGGCTCATTTTCCACAGCCACTGAGTCAGGACAAGACCATCACCCTCTGGCTCCACCGTGACCCATCTGGACCTGCGTCCATGCTCATCCACGACTCCTCGTCGTGAAGCCACGAGGTCATCTCAGCAACGAGGTGCCTGTCATGCCGTGATGCCACTCACCTCGTTCATCTACCAGGCCACGTTTGTATCATCACCAGTGTTCTTCATTGTAAGGCCCGCGGGCCACTGGTGGCAATTAGCGCGGCCTCTGACAATATACAAATGTGAAAACACTCCATCGTGCTGCCAAACCCCAATTGTTTCAAATGTGTGGCGGCCCTCACACTGATGTCTTATCGGCGAAAGTGGCTCCCTCTGAACATGTGAACACTGCCATAGCCCGTTCTAGAAAGGAGGCCCGCCTTCTTGCCAGAGGTCGCAACCGGGTACCCGAAACCCGTACCCTACCCGATACCCGGCTACCCGTACCCGGCCCGTTTGTGACCCTGATGCGGCCGGGTACGGGTAGGCCGTGAGTCACTGGTGAGTCACCGTTTGTCACTCATTTCGGGTAGGGTACGGAATGGGTACCCGTACCCGGCCGGGTACGGGTACCCATTTGCGACCCTGGTGCGGCCGGGTACGGGTAAGGAATCAAACCCCGTTTGCGACCTCTGCTTCTTGCCCCTTACCCGTTGCCACCTCACCCCGCGCCGTGTGCCGCCTCGAGAGCAGCCAATCATAATGACCGGTGGCAGCAAAGCCCCAGGTGTGCCGCGGTTTTTTTCCAATTAATCCACACACAATTCACAAAATAATTAACACTAGACCAGGCACATAGACATCCAAATGAGAACTGGAAACGGACAGATATGCTAATAAAATCATTAAATAGATGAACAGATGGCCACCCAAACAAAACAATTATCAGTTACACACACAGACACATTCATGCGCACCGACTGACGCACACAAAAACACGCAACTTCCCCTCTTCATTAATCGGCTGAGCCGGGTGAGTGATTAAATCAAAGCCTCGTGCGCATGCAATTCTAATTGAGGAGCCGCGACGAGACCTGGGGGGAAGGCGCGGTGGTGATCAAAGAGAGAGCGACACGTGACGCGATTGTGGAAAATCCACAATTACATGACGGCGGAAAGTTCGTCCAGAGCGGCGTATCGCTTGAGAGACGCACAAAGATCATCAACCGGCCACAATCAATCGACTGTTGGATTCAGGACCTACAACGATTTGTTGGTTCAGTGTGCTGCGAAAATCGAGCCACCTCGAAAGTGAGTGCCGTGGAATGAAGATGGCTGAGAAGCTCTGCTGTTCGGGGAGACCGATCTTGGGTCACACAGACTCTGCGAGGCTTAACACTGCATCATTTGCTATCTTAAACACGTCTAAAACTTAATTCATTTTTCAATAACACTCCCCACAACTTTCATCCACAACCTCGCCCAGATCGCCAACCCAGTGATGGAACATGACGGGGGAGCTGCACGGGTGGAGGAGGTGGGATGGGATGGGACTGGGTTACGGAGATCGGAGGAGCGACTCGGCTGGGATTGGCACAGCTGTGGCCTCTGCATCGAGTGTGACTCGGGCTTGCAAAGCAGTTGGTCAGGGCAATGGTTAAACATGCGGTCCCATTACTCCGGGTCTCTGCAGCCAATTACATTTCATACAGTACGACGGTTCGCTGCATGTTGCACGATTCCCAACTAGTGTTGAAATGTTAATGCATCGTGTCATGTCTGACATGGGCTAACGACAATCAATTAAAGGTGATGCAATGTGAGTTAACTGTTTATAATCCATGCCATAGTAGCTCGTGCACCTGCGTTAAAACATTACTTGAAGAGGGCAAGGTCTGTTGCAAAGGGTTACATAATCCATGCACAGGTAGGATTTACCTGATTTCAATTTGCACCAAAATTCCATACCCAGTTTATGTAAATATTTGCTTTATCTGCATATAAAGTTAAACTTTGCACATGTCAGCAAAATACCCTCGTCTTTTTGCAATGCCTTAAAGAGGTGACTCATCTCATAAACGGAAGTAATACGTCTCAAACACTCAATCAACTTTAAATGAAACTGATTGTGTAGGAATGGACAGGTGGTTGTTGGATGAAATAGCACTGTTTAAATTACCATGCGTTTGTGTGATAATACCAACTAATGTTCCCCATTTTACACCAATGGTACCTCCGAGGACAATACACATTCTTGTATTTACTCAACACTGTCCTTTAAAATTAGGCAATTCCTGGATACAAAAATACTGCGCTATGTATAGTGCTGCCCATGCGGTTTCCCAGCACTGTGTGTTACTTTTAAAAGTGAAGTGGGCATGAAACATCGGCCCTAATTTCTTCACAACAATGAAGTATAAACTATATTTTTTAACAATGTCAACCGTGATAAATGGAACACTGAGATAACCAATGTTGAGGTTCCAGGTATAATCATGTATATGCGATTGAATTAGCCTAGGGTCAATACAATCTATTTAGTTTTAAACTGAATTGGTCCGATCGGATGACCAGAAAAGTTCTGAGTTGCACTTTCAAGTCAAAACGTCCTCCCAAAACGATAAGATGGCCCAAAAACTCTGATCTCACAGTCATCTTCCAGATGACAATATCTGCAAGCAATGCAATCAATAAACAACAGAGGTGTGCTCTCTCCGCATAAAAACCAGTCACAATATAAACACATTTAAGTCCGAGTCAATCCTCGGGTATGAACGAAAATGTGCTGTGTAATGTAATGTCGGCACGACGGGTTGAAAGATATGGAGTTGCGAATGTTAAAGTGAACTGCACCATTTACATGTAACATTCCCAAATAAAAGGTAAGGAATGAATGACTATGTGGTCTGACCATGCAGGAACATAATTTGAGGAGACTTGACATTAGGGTCAAAGGGCCATACGCCCTGGGTCATAACAGATCATCAAATTATTGGGGTGTAAAGGCTTACATCCGCAGCTTTTGAGATGAAGAGCAGAAATGTCAATTTCCCAGGCACGGCAGGGCACAATAATAATATAAACACGCACGATTCACCACACTGCTCGCACTGCACAATGTCCACACTGCTGCCAAATTGACGTTGACGGGACCGATGCAAACGTTGCTCACACAGCCGAGTTGTGGACGCGTGCCGAGTGCCACTTGCACCGTCTCCATTGTGGATTCGCGTTACAGACGCGCGCCACACGAAGCGGTGGACACGGCCCAGCGGTAGCTCGTTCGCTGCTTGTTGCGGAGGTTCGTGGTTCAAATCCGGCAGGCCACCCTGGTTAATACTACTCAATACTACTCATTGTGAATGCACACCGTCTGCTTCACAGTGGAGGTTAAAGATCCTGTGGCATCATAGGAAAGGAGTAGGCCATTGCTTGTTGGTGTCGCGGTCCAAATTTGCTAACAGGCTTTGTTCAATTCAATAGCCGACATTCATTCAATATTCTATACTGAGCTCAGAGCCAAATTTGAGCTATTACAGCTTTTACAATGATATAACAATATTTATAAAGTGCATCTCATCAAGGATTTCAAAGCACTATATAAGACACTCAGCATTGCAATGAATCATGAAATTAAAAACAAGGAAATAGAAAGATAATAAAATGAACAATAAAAGCCATTTGTTTAATTAGCTAACAGTTAAATAAACGAAAGTGTACCGATAGGGTTGGAAATGGCAACCTAGCCAAGTGCATTCTCATAACACGAGCAATTATCAATGTTTAAAGTATAGTTTAAAAATGGTTGTAAGCGCTGAAATGCAACAATTGTGTTCACATCCATAGCACAAACACAACATACTTCCTTTTCTTGAATATTCACTTCATGGAAGACAGCATGGTTTCATGGATCACGACAGAAATCACCATGGTAATCACTAGGCTCTGCAGCTGTTAAGTTCTATTATTTTCATCATTGATATGTAACGTTAAATGTAAGATATACGGTAAATAATAACAACACTGATGATGAATGAGTACTTTGCAACAGAAAAGCTATCAAGCAAGAATTTCTATTGCTGATGAACCATTTTAATTATAATCGAATGGTGAAAATGATTTTGGGAGTTTACACTTCGAAACATAAAGGACGCATTGAATTGCAACCAAGGAGTGAAATGGGACAAGCGTGCGTGCAGTGATGCAGTGCCATTTAGCAATCAATTGCAATTACATCTGTGTAATATCTCTCTTAAGATGTTATTGGAAGACAGTTTCCAAGAAGACAGCGGTAAAGGCCAATTATACCAAGTGGCTTCCAATGTGCGAAGGCTCATTTTATTCTTGCAAAGTTGAGTCTTGACCTATTCAATCACACTCTCATGTGAGTCTACTTTTCGATAATGAGTGCTCAAATAAAATAGCTTGAACGTATGCAACATGTATACAGTATTAGTTATTAACAGGAACCTTCATGCTTATTTCCTTAAGCTTAATAAACAGAAATATTGAGCACCTGAATACATTTTTCATGGCGTTTCATAGTTGGAATGTTTTAACCAAAATTGGACAAATTATGCCAAGCCTTATGTAATTAGAACAAATTTAGGTTTACACAAATTCATTATTTACATTCGCATAAGGAAGCCTGCTTGGTTTGACAAAAAAATATAATACACTTTTTGTTGGATGAAGGACATGGCAAAACTAATCTCGTGCCTTTTCCAGGATTTCCCTGAGCACTGCAATCAAATTGTTGAGTCCGTAAATGTAGCCCTCGTCGGCTTCTTCCGAGATAAATGCGTGAGCAAAATCAATCAGCTTCACATCCACATGTTGCCTGCCAGTCCTCACCGTGCCGACGGAGTGCACGTAGTCTCTGTGAACATCCTTGGTGCGAGGCTCAGCCACTTGTCTGCATAAGCAACCTGCATTTGTGTTGTCCAAACAGGAATCAAACACGTAGGAAGCTTGAGTATGATCATTACTTGTTTGCAACAAGTAAACATTTGGCTGGCAAACATCCACAGAGGTGCACAATTTCACAAAATGATTGTCGATTATTGCGTCTTCTAAACCAATGCTACCAGGAGGCACATCAACAATAGGACCAGGCTCAGCTGACTGCTCTTGACAGGTTGCCTCGGTGGCAGCAACAGGGTGAACTGCTAACGTTGGGTCACGTTCACATCCAAAGACCCTGCTGTGTGTACACCCGTCATGTGTTCTGCTGGCTGCTTCAGACTCACACGTGGCTGGTGATGTTGTCCGTGTGGAATGACCCGTCTGAGGAGGAGCATTTCCTTCATATACCATGAGCAGAGAGCTACTGTAAAAATTCCATATCCGTTGCTGTTGAAACCAAGTGTAAATATTCTCCAGCCTCTGTATCACACCCTCCAGTGCATCCAACCGCAAGCAATGGCCATTATGGAAAAACTTGGAAATGCCTGTGGGTACAAACAAGAAAATCAACTGAATGCACAAACCTTAAAGTGGCAATACTCCTGCAACTAAACGTCCCACTATAGGCAGAATAAATCAAACTCATCCCACTCTGCACAGAGACTGCAAGCGTTCCCTCTGTGTGTAGAGCAGCTCCTACAGCTGCCACTGAGTGCTGAGTAACTGCTTGAGCTAAAATAAAACATAATTAAGAATAGACTCCTCACCTTCTTTGAGATTATCTGTCTCTAAACTTCTGCCAAAGAATTTATCATAAACAACATCAGTGTTTGTTTCAGGCTGGTACACCTAAAAGGAGAAAAAACAGTCAATTGCATAGGACACAAGAATTACAATTCACCAACTATTTCACGATCAACATTGAAATGTTACGCAGCAATTCATAACTCAACACACGTAGGCCAACAAAGCAACAATAAAACTAGTGTTTTTAAACGTAATATGGTGGCGGATAGCACAAAACAGCATAATGCACGTTTGCAGGGTAAAGCGAGCAGTTGGCAGCGCAACAGAAGGGTCGCCACCTTCTCCACTGCAGTATAAACCAAGACGTGTTTCTCTTGTCAGCCTAGGTCTAACAATACCATGCAGTTTACTGCGATGAAGTTTGTTTTTTAGCGCCACCGGACCTCAGTACAAATCAATTCCTGGCACCCGAACACAGATACCAATTCTCCCGGAATGTCCAGGTCAAACCCGGGAAGGTGGCAATCCTATATACAGTAGACATTTGGATTTCTCTGTGCAGGCGATCGAACAGAATACATGATCCATGTTTAGATTCCTACATAATCAAAATAACCACAACATTACACGGAATTGTTTTACTTGATGTTTTGCTTCGAGGGTCATTGTGATCATATTGAGAAAATCACTCCTGTTGTCAACACATCGTATAAAAGCCTCCACTCCAAGCAAATTTCACAACCCATCAACACGTTTTAACTTTTACAGGCACGTTAATTTGGAATAAAAATGTCCTACACAAACATCAAGTAAAGCATATATAGTAACACTTTAAGTCGTATTGCTGGAAGTCATTTCGACAAAATTTGTGATAAAGTTATTATATAGATTTTTTGAGTTACTGAGCACAGGCCCAAAAGCCCAAAACATCAAGTGGCCAGCAAAAGTCCTTTCAAAGTTGTAACAGATAAAGAGCGTGACATACTTCTTGAATTCAGCAAGGTTGTCATACACGCTTTGTAAGACAGACGATGGGAGGGAATTCTAAAGTTGAGCAGTGTGAGGGAAGACGCAGCATTGGTGTGACCTGCAGTGTGGCGAGTGAGGAGTGGTTGAGCGAGTGGGTGAGTTGTTGTGACCTGGATTGTGGTGCTTGAGCACAGTGCAGATGAGACAAAACAGTCAGTGTCTGTTTCGATTTAAAGCTTTCGTGACTGCAGGGATTCATCTTCTTGGTTCTTTCGGTAAAGTCACGTAGAAGGGAAGTAATAAAATAATAAAAATAAAACATAATAACATTTTATTATGTTTTATTTATAATACAATTTTATTATGTTTTATTTTTATTATTTTATTACTTCCCTTCTACGTGACTTTACCGAAAGAACCAAGAAGATGAGTCAGTGTCTGGTGGACCGAGTCCTCATTGTCGGTGGCGGTATCAACGTGAAAATAACCATGGTAGTAGCTAAAGAATGTATGTATGCTGAACTTATTTCGCACAATACGAGCCAACGTTGATAATGGGAGGGTAGTGAGGAGGGGACCGACCACTGATGAGCGAATACTTTGAGTGAAATGTTGAGCGCTGGATCATTAATAAACCCAACTGCTTTACATTTGTTTATATCTAGGTATATATGTGAATGTCGTGAATGGTGAGGCAAACTCTAAGTGTGACGGTAACACTGACTCTCATGCCCAGAACGAGGAATCCGATCTCTTGCATAAGGGGGTACTTGGTCCGCTCATAGTCCACTTTTTCTTGTGAGGCACATGGATCATAACTCTGGCGTCCCATCTTCACATCCATAATGCATGGCTTATTGAATTTGCATGTCACATCTTCTAGCTTCAGATACACAGCTGGCATACATTAAAGAAACATCACACAATGCATTTGACTTTTAATACCGTTGCTAAGCACAGGCCCGAAACTTCAAATCAACCATTCTAGATTTGAAGCTTTCGTGACTGCAAGGATTCATACTCTTAGTTCTTTCGGTAAAGTCACATAGGTAAAAAATGAAATTAAAATAAAAAATAAAAACAATAAAATCACGACGTTTTGGAGGCAACACAAGCTTCTGTCTTCAGGTGAAACTGTCACAGCAAATAACCCACTTGATACAGATTTTTTTGCTGTGACAGTTTCACCTGAAGACGGAAGCTTGTGTTGCCTCCGAAACGTCGTGATTTTATTGTTTATTAATTTTAATTTCATTTTTTACCTACGTGACTTTACCGAAAGAACTAAGAGTATTACATATCAACCAGCCGCAAGCAGCACTATCCAAGTTGTAATAATGCATTCCTTGCATTAAGCACAGTCATAACGGTTTCTAAAAATACGCAATAGCTACAATTATATAATTATTTGGGTGGTAGGATGGTTCAGTGGTAACACTTGTGCCGCACAGCAAGAAGCGTCTGGGTTCGATTCCCAACTCGGGCACATTTCTGCGTGGAGTCTGTATGTTCTCCCCCCTGGTCTGCATGATTTACTGCAAGTTCTCTAGTTTTCTCCCTTTATTGAAAAAAAAACATCATGTAACTGCTATTGGAGAAACATCCCAATGCTGAAAAAAATACCTACAAATTACTCAATTGGGACTACACAAAGCAATACACTGCTCTCCTGTGAAAACTTGGCAGGAACCTCTTGAAAATTAGTCTGAGACTCCACGAGGTTATCCTTGGTAAATGAGCATGATAATAATACATAAACCAATAAATGAGAAGAATAAAAAAGGATACTATTGGGAGAATTAGGAGGTATCCATGTGCCCATGAATCTTGGTACTTGTTCTCGCAGGAAGATAATTCTCTCGTCTTTACACTCGGCATTAAATACCTGAAGAGACAGAAAATATTGGATTACCATTATCGAACTGCATACGCGGAAACCATATTTGATCACGGTGTACACCAAAAAAAGATGAAGGAAGATTTCCCCTTATTTAAGAGAAAACAATCATCTCCAAGTGGATTACATCGATATACAAAAGGGGTGATGTTTTAGTTCTCGGCATGAAAAGCAACTCCCTGTGGTGTGAATCTACTTACGCACAACTCAGAGATATTGTGCCTTGAGAGCAAATACAGAATTGTGTGCATGACAGAAATTCAGACACAGGCCACTGTGATCATTTAGATAAAGGGGTGATGATATCATGGCCGATGCCTACGCCACACCTCCTGGCTACCAACGCTCCCTGCCCTCCACCAGATGCATCGGCTGCTGCGTAGTTAACACATTGACATGCATGACCTTAAAGATATGCCCTGCCATCTCTACCATCTTGTTAGGTCTTCCCCTTAGCGACTGGCCTCGTGGAGACCACTTCAATGCCTGTCTCGTTAAGCTGCCCTCCCCCACCCTGCACATGTCCGACCCAGTACAACAGTGTTTTCCTAATCATATCTACAACACTCACCTGTCATATTCTCTTCCGTATGTGTGCATTGCTTATCCTGTCATGCCACATACTCCAGTGATGAAATTCCAACAAGTTATTTTCAAACTGATTAGGGTCCAACTCTCTGATCCATACAGGACTAGAGGAGCACTCTTGCCTCAAATACCCCCACACACTGCACTAATCCTCCCCACCACATCCAGTGATATCTAAACTAAAACATAAACTTGGTTTTTATTTTACCAGGTAAAGCCCACTGAGCTATATAGTTCTTTTCAGACGTAGCCTGGAAATTTATAGCAGCAAAATACTCTAAACGCATGCTTCTAAATACGGAGGGAAAAAATGGAGGACCCGGATAAAAAAACCACGCGATCACAGGGAGAACACGCAAACCCCAAATATACAGGCACCAGGGTCGAACCCACGACCTCCTGTATACCAGGCGAGGTAGTTAACATCTCACCACCACGGCACCCTGCAACGGTAGAGTTTAACACATACATTTTCACAGCCGCTTGTAATTCAAGTGCAGTTTTCTGGGTTGGGTCACACGTTGATTATTTCTTCTCTCAAGCACTCCACACGCACGACTTACTTCGCAGGCAGCTTCAGGCGTTGAATAATTCGTAATCATCTGTAGCTCACTCATTAAAATCCTGAAATTGCCCACATCAGCATGTAGAGAAATCTTGAGAGAAGAAACGGTCAACACGCAGCCCAACCTGGAAGGCGGTGCTTGTTGGGTGTTAGCCGATGCACTGGCTGGTGGGCACCGCTCTCACCGTTTTGTAGAAATCCACCTCCCTTTGTCCCCGTGGAGGGGGCTGCACGTGTTTCAGCACCGAGCCGTCGGGGTGCTGCCGCATGCCTGTGGCACACAACCCGCAATGCGGGGCCCAATCCGTGGCAACGCCACCAGAAATCCCAACCTCAACGTTTGGAACTTGCTTATAATGTATTTTGTGTAATGGATGATAACATCAGCTTTGAAACCAGGTCAAATATTTCAACTCAATGATTCATATTTCATGACATACATCTCATTTAATGGGGGTGGGGGGGTGTGAGATCGAATAGTTGAAGATGGTCTGGTTTTGGAATGATTTTGATTATCTAAAATCGGTATTTAGAATGACAGTAGACCCATGAATGTCTGTACAGAAGACAGGGAATTAAGTATTCTGTAAAAGTCTTGCCAAATAAGTATCAGAGCTTTTAAATTGTTTTTATAGGTGAAATAAAACAGTCCAATATACAAGTGAATCCTGAATCGATTTTATAATTTCACTCATGATAAAAAATGGGACATGAGCGAGTAAAAACGCGAGCCACTTCGCAAATACACGCTACAACATTTTTAAAACAAATTAACAAAGTTATGCCGTACCGAGGCCTTTCTTTTTCCCATCCACATGTCCAGCCACTTGGTGGGACAGCGGTTTGAGTTGTGCACAGCAAGCCGAGTGTGCAGGTGCCGCGTCGGCACAGTCTGCAGCATCGCTCCGGTCTTCATGCGAGCCACCGCTGCCTTCCAGCCACTTTCCGATTTTCTGATGTTCATCGTCCATTGCTGCACCTCCTGACGGCATCCATGGGTCTTGTGGGGTAGGGTCGGGATGTTGGGTTCGCTCGGCCTGAGGATTTATGCCATCTAATTGTGCAATTACACTTGCGCTGGTTGTCTCATTATCGTCGGCTTGCTTTTTATACATGTCACTGTGTATTTCGCTTAATTAATCTTCTTATTTGGCAGAGAACTCAAATTCCATGCTAACATTTAACTTACGTGATATTAAGCGCACGCAAGCATGACCAACAGTGATAGTTCAGCTGTTTTTTCTAGGATTGTATATTAACCTCCCAATGACTATGCTCTATCTTAACTAACATCTAAGATTTGCTGTCACATGTCTAAAGGATATGTTCTATACAGACATCTCACATTTTAGCACAAAATCAGATGCTGGATTTGACACTCAGGCGAAACGTGTATTTTATCTAGCAGAAGTTTTCACATACTATGCTGTTCTTCATCGCATGCAAGCCTAAGTGTTAAATCTTAGGAAGGTGAGGATCTTTTCCTGAAAAAGACAATTTTAAGTCTATTTTTAAAGGACCAGCAAGATGGTCAATGTGCTACTTGTGTGTTCATTAAACTTTCGTAATCAACGATTGAATACAATGCATGTCATTACACATTCCTATCTTAAGTGTCAGTCGGGGTTGTGGAATTAGAAATAGAAAAACATCCATGCCAAAAATGTCACATTAATTGAGGGAAAATGATTACATTTTAATACATGTGAATAAAAATACTTCTTAAAAATGTATGATCGATTTAATCAATGCTGAAATAAATGCTTTGCATAGGTAATTGGTAAACGACCGTGCACAATTTTTGAAACCAATACCTTTCATTAGTATAAATAAAATTGCCCAGAAAAAAAAATCAACACTCAAGTGACTCGGTATAGTATTACTAATTACTGGAATTGTTCGTGCATACTTTTTAATGAAAGCACACGCAAGATCAAGCAGCATGGGCATGCAATCAATGGCTGGGCATGTGGCTTCCATGACCCTCGCTTGCAAGGGGAGCTCACATCCATGCTGGGACTGTGTCCAGCCAGACATTTCAAAGGGAACTGCAAGCCCCTCACACAATTCAGCCTGGTTAAACCCAGCATGGAGCATGGCCAGACCAGTTTGAATGTTTCAAATCAGCACCACAGGTGTTCTTGTAAATTAACTATGTGGTCATAAAAATGTTAAATTGTGCAAGGGACCAAGGGAATCCATGCCACACCCCAATTTTAACAGAAAATGGCTCACAGCGACACGGCTTTGATAATATTCGCTCACTCTCGAAGAGAATGACTCAAGAAACACGAGGAACCACAGACGAGTGGGTAGACAGCAGCCGGGCAGTGAGCCAGTGCTGCCAACAATTGCCCAAGATCTGCGGTCCTCTACAAATTAAGGTGTTTTCGGCCAATTGATGTTCATACATGTGGAAGGGAACCAGAGCGCCCAGGGAAACCCCACGCATGAGGGCCGACATTCTACCCTATAGAGATTAAACGGAGATTAGCACGCATCTTGCTGTAACGCATTCTCCTGGCAGGCCAGGGTATGGCATTTCTGTGACTCACCAACTTACACACAAACACAATCACAACACCTTAATCCCTAAATATATCACACACTCTCACTCATTCACCCACGATCTCACTCTCCCCCACTCTCATCACCCCCCTCTCGTCACCCCTCACCCCCCCCTCTCCTCACCCCTCACCCCCCTCTCCTCACCCCTCACCCCCTCTCCCTCCTCACCCCCCACCCCCCTCTCCCTCCTCACCCCCTCTCCCTCCTCACCCCCCTCACACCGCTCCCCTCACCCCCCACCCCCCACCCCCTCTCCCTCCTCACCCCCCTCTCATCATCCCTCACCCCCCTCTCCCTCCTCACCCCCCTCTCCCTCCTCACCCCCCACCCCCTCTCCCTCCTCACCCCCCACCCCCCTCTCCCTCCTCACCCCCCACCCCCCTCTCCTTCCTCACCCCTCACCCCCTCTCCCTCCTCACCCCCCCACCCCCTCTCCCTCCTCACCCCCCCACCCCCTCTCCCTCCTCACCCCCCCCACCCCCTCTCCCTCATCACCCCCCACCCCCTCTCCCTCCTCACCCCCCACCCCCCTCTCCCTCCTCACACCGCTCCCCTCACCCCCCACCCCCTCTCCCTCCTCACCCCCCTCTCATCATCCCTCACCCCCCTCTCCTCCTCACCCCCTCTCCCTCCTCACCCCCTCTCCCTCCTCACCCCCTTTCCCTCCTCACCCCCTCTCCCTCCTCACCCCCTCTCCCTCCTCACCCCCTCTCCCTCCTCACCCCCCTTTCCCTCCTCACCCCCTCTCCCTCCTCACCCCCCTCTCCCTCCTCACCCCCCACCCCCTCTCCCTCCTCACCCCCTCTCCCTCCTCACCCCCCTCTCCCCCCGTCACCCCCCTCTCCCTCCTCACCCCCTCTCCCTCCTCACCCCCCTTTCCCTCCTCACCCCCCACCCCCTCTCCCTCCTCACCCCCCTCTCCCTCCTCACCCCCCCTCTCCCCTCACCCCCCTCCCCTCACCCCCCTCCCCTCACCCCCCTCCCCTCACCCCCACCCCCTCTCCCTCCTCACCCCTCACCCCCCTCTCCCTCCTCACCCCCCTCTCCCTCCTCACCCCCCTCTCCCCTCACCCCCCACCCCCTCTCCCTCCTCACCCCCCCTCTCCCTCCTCACCCCCCTCTCCCTCCTCTCCCCTCACCCTCCTCACCCCTCACCCCCCTCTCCCTCCTCACCCCCCTCTCCTCACCCCCCTCTCCCTCCTCACCCCTCACCCCCTCTCCCTCCTCACCCCTCACCCCCCTCTCCCTCCTCACCCCCCTCTCCCCTCACCCTCCTCACCCCTCACCCCCCTCTCCCTCCTCACCCCCCTCTCCCCTCACCCCCCTCCCCTCACCCCCCACCCCCTCTCCCTCCTCACCCCTCACCCCCCTCTCCCTCCTCACCCCCCTCTCCTCACCCCCACCCCCTCTCCCTCCTCACCTCCGTCTCCTTCACGCGGCGCCGCCTCCCGACCCCTCGACCCCCCCTGGCGAACACGGAAGTGAAAGCTGAGGTCGGTTGCCGGATATCCGGCGTGACGTCACAGGCGCGTGCGGAGACGGCCGCCATCTTACCTAGGGGTGGGGGATGGGCGGGCGGGGATGGCCGCCATCTTACCTGGGGGTGGGGGCCGTGCGCCATTGGCTGCTCGCTCGTTCGGACCATCGATTACTGCCGATATTAGGAAGCCACCTGGAGGCGAGCACTTTTGAATCGGACAAATTGAAAGCGCATTTATTTAAAAACTGCCTTTTTGTGTGTGTTCTTAGTTTATTGATCTTTTTTATACCTATTCTTGGTAAAGTCACGTAGAAGGGAAATAATAAAAATAAAATAAAATTCTCACGACGTTTGGATTGCAACACAAGCAATCATCATCAGGTGTGAAAACCAACATTTTCTTGCTGTGGTTTTCACACCTGATGATGATTGCTTGTGTTGCAATCGAAATGTCGTGGGAATTTTATTGTTTTATTTTTATTATTTCCCTTCTACCTGACTTTACCGATAGAACCAAGAATATGAATCCCTGCAGTCACGAAAGCTTTAAATCGAAACTTTTTATACTTGTCAACTCCTTATCAGTGCCCCAGCTTATTACAGGCCAATTCAGGCCTTATTGTTCACCCCGTGCCCTTAGAAATCTCAACGTTCATCCTACAAAGTCCCATCACAAGGGAGACACAAATAGACAATTTAGTTTTGTCCGTATTGAAACGGCTGGACGCCATATGGGCCTGAAAACTTAATTTCTCTGTACAAGAATTACGGGTAAACCGTATGGGTTGATAGCTATATATTTCCTCCGCACCTCCGATTAGCACGGTTGGCTAGGTACGGTGTGAAAGAAGTTCAACGTACATATACGATACGTTTATGCCAGTATCAAAAGCATGTTTGTTTTCCCACAACTGCGTGTGGTTAGTGGAGATTTTGTGCATTGCAAAGGGTATTTATTTTGGTGTTTAAACATCTAACACCTTTTTTTTCCAGAAAGGGTAAAACACCTATTACGCCTTTTGGCGTCCTCTGGTCTAACACCGTTTGAGACGAGGCTCAAAAGAAAGCTGTCTCTGGTGTGGATCAATCCGTTTCATAGACAATGCATATATTATCAGAGTATGTTTTTGTTTGCATTATGACCACAAGTATTGTGGTTAATGCAGGCATGATTCCTTGTAAAATGTTTCAGTTTGGTGTTTTAACAACTTAACACCTGTTTTATTGCCAGATAAAAGGGGGGAAACCTATTATCATATCATATTATTTGGTTTACACGCAGCAGGAGCAATCATTGCCCCCTCCAGCTCGCAGACTGATGATGCCCGCTTGCAGGACAGGTGCTGTAGTCACCTTGTGTGTCACGGGGAAAGCTGCCACTGGGGGTGCCCTTTTCCAACGTGCCGAGATGAATATTGCGTGTAAAGCGCATAAGAGCACGATATCAAAAACGCATCCTTGATACCATAATATAGGTGGGTTTTTTGGGGGGGGGGGTTAGATCGTGTGAATATAAATGTGTCGTTAAACCCACCACCATCCGACACAGCCAAATAATGTTTTTGTCACGTAAACAAAACATGTCAATTCGTTACGAGTACAGCACACCGGTGTTTTGGAGAGCAAATCCACAACATTTACAATCTGAGTACGACGTTTCACCAGAAATTACAACTAGCTTCATCAAGCGACAGCCAGATTTGTGGAGAAATCCAGTTTTGTTCTAAAATAATGGCACGTTTTATATTTACGCGATCTAACGCAAAAACATCTTATGTTTATTAGTCGCGAAAGCCTACGTGTTAAACTAACATCCTTAATTATTATCGTCAAGGGACCGATATAAATCAAAATGAAGTTTTCATTTATCAGCCATGCTCCATCCACTGCTGGATGAAGAGCTGCACACCACGTGGTTCGGTATTTAAGCATACTTCACGCTTGGTCATCGGTGCGGGTTGTTGAAAGTGAGGAGCGTTGACGTGGAAGTGTGCGTACAGGACAACAATGGAAGCCTGGTTCTTGACTCAAAGATGTAGGCAACCCTCGGAGCAATTTGGATGGTTTTATATAGGGCAAGCCTCGAGAAATAGATTACATTTTTTGTCTTGCCTCACGGCAGATGGGGAGCGTACGTTCACAGAAAGTTCCTGTTATGCTACTGTTGGTCACGTGACCAGGAAGTGACGATGTTAGATTTCCACTGTACCACGCGGGCGTCAGCCATTATACACATAAGTCAAGATGGCGGCACGCATCGCATCTCAGTGAGACCACAGCCGCACTTGTCCATTGTGGGAGCTTAAGAAGCATTATCTGTAAGTTGTTTATATTCCTATAATATTGGAAATGCTGTTGTAATGTTGGAATGACCGTTATAGCAATGTAAATGCCTTTATGGTGCCGTTAAGTTGTTGTAGTAAATACGAGGCCTAGTTAGTAACGAAGCCTGTGACTTTCCTTATTGTGGATGTTACTTGTGATTTAGTAGGTCGAGTCAGACTTGTGCCTATGTTGCGATCCTGAGAGTGATGACGAAGTATCTCATCCACAGTTTAGTGTTAAGTGTAATGCTGTACATTTGGGGTGCAGTGGGATGAATACACTATGTGCCTGTATGCAACGCACCAGCTTGTGCCTTTGTCTAGTTGTTCAGGGGTAATGTGGGGGCCTGGTCCTTCCAGGATCTATTGTTATCTGAGACAATGTTCTGATGCTGTGGTGTTCATTGTGTGGGTGTTTCCGAATTATAACAGATGCTGTATCTGTGTTTTCTCACCAGTTTAACCTGTTACAATCAATAAATGACGATCGGAGTTGGACGGTCATCCTGGCTTCGAGGGTTTATTGAACACATGGTTGTCTACTCGACTAGCGGTGCAACGCAGCGCACAGCGAGGCCGAGATATTTTAGTTCCGACAACAACATTGCTTTGTTCCTATTTACAAGATAACTGTTTAACACGTAGGCTTTCGCGACCAATATTATTCATAATAAACGTTTTTGGGTTAGATCGCCTTATTTATAAATGTGTCGTAACCCTCCACCACCCGACACGGCCAATCAGCAAAAAAAGTGTAACGTTGACAAAAGACAAATAGTTCACTACTTTAGTCCACCGGTGTGTTGAAGAGTGAATCCACAACATTTACAGTTTTTGAGTAGTACGACGTCACCCTGCTGCTCTATTTAAGAACGGGAGCAAGTGAGGGCTTCACCATTCTGGCGAATTGCCCGATGATGCTGGATGTCATTACCAGCGAAACGTCGTACTCAAAAACTGTAAATGTTGTGGATTCACTCTTCAACACACCGGTGGACTAAAGTAGTGAACTATTTGTCTTTTGTCAACGTTACACTTTTTTTGCTGATTGGCCGTGTCGGGTGGTGGAGGGTTACGACACATTCATAAATAACGCGATCTAACACAAAAACGTTTATTATGAAAATAGCTGTTATCCATTATACTAATTAGCCACAACGCCTATCCCTCTGCTGTCCGGTCCCTTTCTCAGCACCTTACTAAATGTGCAGCCTATAAGGTGA